GTAGGGCAATAGAATATACGGTCTGTACAGTAGAAAAACCATTACGCCTATGGAGAGTCCCCACAAGGATAGCTGACCAGACATGTGTGTGTGAGTGTGTGTGTGTGTGTGTATATATATATATTATAGTATTGGTTGCTGGAGAGTCCCCACAAGGATAGCCAAGGATAGCTGACCAGACATGTGTGTGTGTGTGTGTGTATATATATATATATATATTATAGTATTGGTTGGTTGTTAATAAAAAATAATGTCAAAATGCCTTTAACCTGCATGTAAACATCAAATTAAATTTGAATTAATATTGGACTAAAAAACTTTATTTGCATAAATATGAAACATTGTCTACATATGCTGCCTCATATCAGACTTCCTTTTAGGTTGTGGTTATCTTTGCGGTCCAGTTATTTTTTTCTTTCATTTGTCTTTATCTGGGATTTTAACAACTCTCCTAGAGAGGGAATCTCTTTCTACTTTTAAGTTATTCACCAGATGTCAATATGTCAATATGTGTTTTATGTTCAAGGGTGCTGGGTATTAGCGGAATAAATCCTCTAAAATAGAAGCTAAGGTCAAACTATGTGCCAGGTTGTTGGGAGCAGTTTGAGTTGACAGTGCTGAATTGAGTTGAGCTGAGTAAATTAATCCAAGCTCACTTTACATTTCAATAGACAGGTTGGCACTCATTTTCCTCCTCTTCCTCTATCTATTGGCGAAAGTGTTTTATAACCCTATGCTTCCTCATGATGAAGCTGAATAAAAGATCATGGAGGAAGGAAGGCCCATTTTGACAGGTTGAGACATTATTCAAAGCCTTATTTAATATTAATGACACATCCTGCTCTTGTGAAGTCTAAAATTCAGCATGTTACATCACACATGCACTGATGCCAACACAAACATATGTGTATTGTTGGCGCACATGCATGAAATCTCAGGTAACCCGTGTGGATCAGGCACGTAGCATGTGAATAGGTATGGGTTTATATGCTATGTTATGACTGACATTCTGGCAAACGCAGACAGAGAACTGTGTGTGACAAGACTGTGAAAAACAGCTGTGAGTGCTGCATCCTTTAGGACTACCGGTGCTAAAAGTGCTCTCATAAATATTATACCATATTCCCTTGAATATAGCTTCACTCTTTTTATATAATGGTTTGACTGATTTACTGAGTAAAGAAGAAGTGTCTAATTACTGACACTAACTGCAACATCAAACAAAACATTGGCTCGACTAATGACATGAATTTACTAGTTTGTTTGGGGCAGGGTTTGGTGCTTCTGATGGCACAGGTTTTACTTCAACTTAGAATCAGGTGAATTTTCTTAACTGGATGTGAAATTAAATGAAGATTCACCCTATTTTGCAAATGCATGTCATATATCTTATTGTGAATGATTCATCCATGTATATTTCTTTTTTTTTTCCCCTTGTAATGTTTAATCAGAATGTCATAACTCAGTCTTCTGTTGAAAAAGACAGACTTCCCCCTGGTGATGTTTGTAGAACTTCTTCATTCATTCAGTCTGCTTAAACCTGCCTCTACACAATCAACTACAAGCTCGTATTCATTGTGCAATGCCCCAAAAATCTCAAAATCCAAATAACATCCAATGCATAGAACCAAGTCTCCTTCCTACATTTTTTTTATTTCAGTAATCTATTATATTTGAATGTACATCACAATAAAGAAGAGATCGCTCTCCATTTCATCAAATTTTTTACAGTACATAAAACATAAATAAAAAAATGTAGGCTAATAATTTATTTAAAATATTAATATATTTATCTGTGCAATCAGTTACAAATAAATTTATATATACATTTTTTTTTTAAATGCAAAACATTTCAATTCAAACTCTTTTTTTGATGAAAAAAAAGGGTCTGCAAAAGAATACAAGTTCCCTGTGGCGCCGAGAGGCCCCGGTTAGTGTCGGCTTGCTAAAACTGCTCCAGAGTGACAGACAGTAGACCCTGTTGAGATCCTCCGTCACCCTCGGCAGCGGACGCGGCGAAACGTCTCCGTTCCCTCCTTCAGGGAACGAGGGTTACCATACGTAACCGAGACGCTCTACAATAGTCCTGCTGAAGATTAAAAAATAAATGAACAAATAAAAACTTTAAGCTTACAAGATTTGTGACATTTGTAATATGGGTTTCAAATTCTAACAAGTACAGAACATGACATTTTTAAATGTGGGACACGGCATTTAATGCTAGACCCATTTCTCTTGCTGAATATTGGCTCCTCTCTGTTTTTTCAATGTTTAACTGTAGATCTCAGTGTTAAGTTCTATGTTAAAAATGAAATTCATGCCAATATAATCCCTGGATGTAGATCATCTCTTTCTAGTGCTATATCCGCTGCAACAACATGTTAAATGTACTGCTCTCTGGGTAACAGCCTAACCGTGAACCACTTGGCAAGACTTTTTGAAATTACCATCAACAGTATCAGTTAGAATAGAATTCACTTCAGCAGCTCTATAGTACAGACTTCAGAACCTGAATAGAATAGAATAGAATAGAATAGAATAGAATAGGAGAAAAACTGTTTTGCATTAGATAATATTAAATGTGTTAATATATCTTGCATATTCACCTCAGATTCATCTTTCAACCTGGTTCAGATGTTTCATGTATTGTATTTTGTTAACTTGGATTACATGCAATGGAACTCTTTATTCAAGACTAATTAGCTAATTAACTGATTAGTATGCAGTGACATGCTGGACTGTCCTGACACATCATAGAATGCCGTTTGACACTATTACTACTCACAGTTTGTTAGCACAGTCTTACAATATGGAATTGCTGATGATATCAACTCAGCAATAACCTATTAGCTGATGACTGTGCTCCCAATGCTTTTGTTACATTAAAAGGCTATTAATTATTGACAATGTAATTATCATAGCATTGTTCCTAATATAATTAAAATGTCACTAATGGATCTTGGGACCTAATTGATACCACTCTTCTAACCTCTTAATCTGACACTTATTTATTTTAATAGTGGCTCTATTTTTCAAAAACAATATGATTCATCCCTGCTGGGGATTCTCTCGGATTTGATTGCTTTCCACTGTGGTCTGATAATCTGCACACACACACTTTACAAAATAGACTGTCTAAATAAACTCTGAATGTCCCTACCACTCTCTATGAAGGATATAATTTTAGACAACCACCTGTGAAAGATAACCACAAGCCTCCCTAGGCTTTATTCTCCAAAATTGTGTGCAATGGCAAAACCATAATTTCCAAAATTTCATAATTACCTCTAGCGGTAATAGGCAATCTGCATGACAATTATTTTTATTGGAAATGTGTTTGGTTTGTCCCTGACTGAGAGGAGGTTATTGTGTGTAGATGTTAAGCCCATCATAATGTAGTAATGTTGTTGTGATTGTCTCTAGGCTCCGGAGAGACCGGCGAGACTGGAATACTGCAGCCTGCTGGGTAACATGTCATTTGCAGCGCTGTGTGAAATCTGGGTGTGATAGGCCAATAGCGCCTGATGAGTAAACAAGTTAGGATCTACCGGCTAAAGTGTGTGGCAAACAGTGAGACACAGGCTAACATCTGCAGGCTAAGATGGCATTTAAAATTTAAATTCACCATAAAACGAAAATTGCCCCTATTTGCATTCTTATTACACATCCTGGTTTTATTGTGAATTAAGTGCATGTTATTCCAAACAAAATATTTTGTCTAATTAAGTGTTCAGTAAAATGTAATAACGTTTTTTTAACCCCACTCACGCCTGTCACGGTCCGTATTGCTCTTTTTGTACATAGTCTTGCACATTTGCATAGACATTGAAACCAGTGAAGTAACCATCGTGATGCTTCAGTTTTAACAATGAAACGGTGCAAGGTAAGTAACTAAACTTTTAATGTTTGATATCTTTTTTTTTTAAACAGCTTGTTGGTAACACTTTAGTTTAGGGACCAATTCTCACTATTAAGTTGCTTATTAGAATGCTTGTTACTAGCATAGTTCATATTTATTAGTATTTAGATCCCTTAATCCTACCCTAAACTTAACAGCTACCTTACTAACTATTAATAAGCAGCAAATTATGAGTTTATTGAGGCAAATATCGTAGTTATTAGTTAGTTAATAGTGAGAATGGTCCCAACTTCTGTGTGTCCATGACCAACTTGTTTTATGATGTTACCAACAGTACTATCCAGTAATGCAAACTTTTTTCTCAATTTTAATTATTTTGAAATAAAAATAGCCTATATTATTTATGTGAAACAGGAAATGTAATTTGTAATTGAATATGAGACACACACACACACAAAAAAAACATTAACAGATCTGTTTTCAGCATATTAGGCATATGATTAACAAGAAATGTATGCATTTAAAAAATAAATGTAAAAAATAAAAATATATATATTTTAAAAAGATCAATTGCATTACTTTACCATAAACTGCAGTTCTTATTTATTTATTTATTTTTCTGTATTCTTTTGTTGGTCCCCCCAGTGTTTAACCAAATTATTGTCTTTGCACATTTATCTGACTATTAAATTTTTTATATTGTTGAGACATTGTTAGGTTTAGGGTAGATTTCGGGATATGGGCTCAAAAATATCTTGATAAAAGAAAAAAAAGGAACTATACAAATATATTTATAATATAAATATGAAGGATTCATAAATATTTTTTTGTTTCAAATGCTTTGCCTATTAAATAATTGTATGTCTTAGATGCTTTCAATACACCCATTTTGTCAACATACAAAAAGACATGTCAATGGCATGTCAATGTTAGATATGAATACCAATAAGACGAGACCAAACTGACGCTAAAGCACGCTCGCCCCATTGGAAACAGCTATAGAGAAAGAGAAAGAGGTCTGATTAACTGAAACTTTGCATGTTTCTAACAACCCTCGTCTGACCTGAGAAATCTCTGTAGGTCAGAACGTCAACATGGTGTCTGTGACCCACCCCTCCTTCTGCTGACACGTTCGCCTTGGCGCTCTGGGCCCCTGACAGAGCAGGGACTGACCCTCAGTTGCTGCCCTTGCCTTATAACTCCTGGAGACAGTCAAAGGTCACGACGTGGTGGCAGCAGACGGCACTCCACAGATGGACGATGACTAGCTGTGCTCCTGTCACATCAGCATGCGGTGGTCTCCTCCTGAGAGAGTGAGGGAGATGAGATGAGAGCGAGCGAGGAGGAGACGGAGAGAGACCCCTTGCCCAGGTCTTAGTCAGTGGTAACGAAAGGACACAGGGGCAGGATGGGAAACATGTGAATCAGTGGTGTGCTGGTGAATGCCCTGAGGCACCTTGGCATTCACAGGCAGCTAGCAGGTGGCAGAGAGTCAGGCAAAGTCTGTGCACGACACACACATACCCACGCGCTCCGTCTATCCCTGTCTGAAAGTCACAAGCTGGGAACACAGCCAAATAAAGAAATCCAGGTTTTTGTGGGATTGGAGCATGTCTATGTAAGCACTAGGGAAAAAGGGAAAGAACTTATTACAGTTCAAAAGTGAAAGACTTCAGAAGCCTGAGGTACAGTCACAGCAAACATTTGTTTGATCAGCATGTTGTCCGTGATCTGCACTGAAGACATGCACAAACAATATGGACACAAATTAATCAGGTTATTTTTTATTTCTAATTTATATATTTTGGAAAGAGCATAACTTAAAAAAAAAAAAATGAAAGTGAAAATGATTTAATATGAAAAAAAAACACACATTAAGAATTAACCCAAATTATTTATAAGACAAAATATATATTTAAGCAATGTTTGCCATTGGCCTTTCTTTCTTTCTTTCTTTCTTTCTTTTTCTTTATATATTTATTTTGGGTTCCTCATTATGTAATTTCTTTTTTTCAAAAATGACATTTTATTATTTTACTATTTACATTATAATAAATAATAAAAAGTATTACTATTGTTGTTATTATTTATGGTTATTATTAAAATAAATATATAAAAAATAATATTATTAGTTGTTGTATTTTTATTATATACATATAATACATTTATGAATATAAGAATATCACTGGAGTCTTTATCTCATGTGAGCCACCATCATTTTAAACACATTTTTTCCCTATACTATTCATGTCTTTGGAAACTTTGGAAACTTTTGCATTTCCTGGCCCTTTAAGAGACTTAAACTGGTCAGCTGAACTGCCAACAGTAATTACCAGCAATAATTAGAGTTGTGTCAGTGATGTGGGTCTCATATGAACATGCGGGCAGCTCATCCACACTCGGTTATGACTGGAGACTTTTCCATCATCAGAATTCCCTTCACTCTCTTGGCACTTGGCACAGTGGGGGCTGTTGACTCTTGGGGAATGTTTCTGCTGGAGACTGGCATATAAACCAACTACTGAAGAAGTCATCCTCTTACCAGTAATGAGGAGTAGATGTTGCCAATGTCAGAAGAGAAAATATGTCTATTTATACTGATAGACTGACACACACACAGTACGTGGCACAGGCCTAATGTATCAAATATCAGTGTGAGACTGGCATATAAACCAACTACTGAAGAAGTCATCCTCTTACCAGTAATGAGGAGTAGATGTTGCCAATGTCAGAAGAGAAAATATGTCAATATTTATACTGATAGACTGACACACACACAGTACGTGGCACAGGCCTAATGTATCAAACATCAGTGTTACAACTCATTGACGTCATGTTTTCAACCCAGACGAACTTGGGTTGAAAGATAAGATGAATATTTTAACAGGTCCTTCTGTAATATGCCATTTAATTTCTTCTTTACTGTATTATAAGGGATATCTGACAATGAAATATAATAACTATCATGTCAATATTCATTGTAATATAATGTTCAATGTATAGAAATACTGCAATATAAATTTCATTATAGTCTTGTATCTCTGATGCCCAAGAAAACTTTTGCAAGCTGAACTGAGAACTGAACCTGGTTCAATGTTCGTTCACAAATCAAATCAATTCACTGACTCCGTGATTGGGTCGCAGCAGTTCTGAAGTTAACAGTTCACTGGAGGGGAATATTATAAATCAGTCGAGTTCTCACACAAAGACATTGTATAGGTCTAGAAGATTCAGAAAAATAGTGCACAAGTTGTATAGGCTATACTTTTGTAGAGCTTGTTTGGTGTAATATTTGACTATTTTGGAGCTGAACTGCAATGGCCATTATGAACTGTCATTGTGTGTGAAATACATTCATAAGGATTTATGTAATTTTTTGTTGCACAAAAGAAAGAAATCTACATGGATTTGGTGTTTTTGTATGATGCCTAGTGGTTTTAGGCAAATTAAGGCAGTGTTTTTGTTTTGTGGTAAACTGTTCCTCTAAAAAAATTTAACTTATGAGATTTTTCTCTGTTTCTCTAACAAGGAAAACATCACTGGTCCACTTCCTCACCCTTAAACCACTGTGACCTCTGAGGAGACATGACTGCATGCCATGTTTTGTTCAGTCTATCAGCTGTTCAGTTATGTAACTGCACACAGAGTCAAGTCACAGGTCTCCAATCCTGTGCTCTCTGACACTGTATCCACTACAGGATCTTTATCTCGATCACACCCTGCGATCTTAAATACACTTTTTTCTGCTGGAAGATATTAAACGTGACAAGCCTGCCAACACCTTAAGAGATGGAAAAAGAAAGATAGACGCAGACAAGTATCCCCTCACAAACACATATACACAGAACACAGTTCCTGGAATTACTCTCAAGAGAAATGAGAACTGTTACAGAAAATGTCATGAACAATTAGTGTGAGACACATCTATGAGATAAACGCAAGCGTCCATGATTATTAAACATGCAATAATTAATATAGAGCAACAGAATGCTCTAATATACTCTAAGTTGCTCTAATATAATCTCGTTGTACTACAGCAATGACAATAAATGAATTATTCTATTCTAGAAAGGGAGAAGTACGTCTGTATTTGGATTTAAAACAGCCAGGCAAATAATGGAAGACATCTGTAATCTGCCTCTCTCGTCCCCCTCTCTCTTTTTTCAGTATGAACATTTTTGGAAGGAAGAAAAAAGGCAGGAATGAAGGACAAGGAGAGGAATTAAAGAAAATCAAAGAAATTTAAGGAAGACAAAGAAATAAGGAAAAAAATTCAGTTGAAGAAGGAAAAGGGGAAAAGGGCAGATGGAGGAACCAAGAGTAGAAAAAAAAATGAAAGAAGCATGGGGAAGAGAAAAAGACAGGAAGGAAAATGCAAGAAAGGAAATTAAAAAAGGAAGGACGATAAGGAAAGAAAAGAAAAACTGGACAGAGGAACTGACAGGCAGAAAGAAGAATGGAAAAATGGACGTAAAGAGGGAGGGTCTGAACAGAAGGAAGAAATATGGTAGTAATAAAGTAAGTTTATTAAAAAAAAACTAAAGTTTTGATGGAAGGAAAAAAGTACTGAAGGAAGCATGGTAGGAAAGAACGAAAATAAGGAAGGAAATAAAAAGAGAAAGGTAAGAAAGGAAAAGATTTAAGTAAAGTTAAAAAAAATATTAAAGAAAGCAATGCAGGAAGTTAGGAAGAATGGAAGGAAGAATGTAAAGAAGGAAATTCCTTAGTAAAGAGAAAATGGAAGGGAAAAATGAGAAAAAAATGAATTATAGAAAAAAGGAAAAGAATCAAGGTATGGAAGGAAAAGGAAAACAGGAACAATGGAGGAACCAACAGATGGAAGGAAAGATGGGAAAATGGTTAAGTAAATAAGATTGGATGAACATAAAGAAAAAATGTAAGTAAGGAAAAACTAAAGAATTGATATGAAGGTAAGAAAACGTAAAAGAAATTAAGCAATTAAAATAAGGAACAAGGAATTGAAGTAAAAGAAGAAAGCAAGAAAGCAGTGAAGAAGAAAGAACACATTTAGGCAGTACATTAGAAAATACTCAAGATACTTGTTAGTAATTCAAAGACAATATTAATTGTTTCACTTTGGACAGAAATATGTTCATTTTATGCTCCAAACTCCATAACATTTCTAAGCTTTTCCCCTCTTCCACCCATGAAATCAGACACAATTTGTCAAGTAAACAAGCTATTAATCTTTTAAACGGTTACAAATCCTGTATTCTGGGCATGAATGATGAATTATGTATGATAGATATAAGGGGGGGAAAATGCCACTAACAACAAACATTTCAACACTTGTTCTGTGCCAGAGAAAACCACATTTTCCCAGGCAGTTGTTTAGCACTATACCCAAACGTAGCCGTGGGTCGTTTGCTAACTGTGGTTTCTAAATCTTATCCTGCACGCTGCCTCCTTGACAGTAATTAAGAACGGCAGTAAATCATATTTCCACAATTTTGGAGGGTAAAGTTCTTTAAACAGCTCTTTAAAAAGACATACTCCCAGGCTGTGTTGGGCAACATTTTTTTCCTAGCCAATCATATCGTATTACATCATTTTCCAAAGGTTTTGTAAGCTGTGTAATGGAGTCTCTGCATATATTGAGTCTGTTTGTGATTTATGAAGTGTTGTTTGGCAGTCTGTGTTTATGCTTTATGTGACAATGAGAAATCTGTCCATCTAGTCACAAAACCAACGGAAGGAAGAGGGACTGAAAGAGCAGCTTGGTTCCAAGCCTCAGAGGTGATATCACTTACACGTGCATGGATGTTCATATACCAAGACACACAACTGAACGGCGTAATATCACGTATGCGTGAGTTTTATCACTGACAAGCACATTTTGATCCATTTACACACAGTATATGCGACAATATCCTGTATCGTCATGCATATATGGATGACACTCAAGCAAAACATCGTGCACGGCTAGATTTAGCATATAAACACTCAAGCCACGTGCCCAGCGTTATGTATTTCTCTCTCCGGGTTCCTCCATTACCGCGGCTCTTCTTCAAAGCATACAGATGTAACGAATGTCACAATATCTGCTGCTTCAATCCCATTCGACACACTAGCTGTGCCATGACAATGTGCCTCCAGCACCGGAACCCTGGCCATGAGTTAAAGTGGGTGCCCACAGGCGTCTATGTTATCAGGCTCGGCCACATTGGCACCTCCCTTGGCACATATTAGTGAAAAGCAGGGTGGTATCTGAGGATAATGAATCAGAGATGTTCCTGAACCCCATATCCAGAGCAAACGCTGGGGTCAACATAGAATGCTAGTGTGGTTAATTGGTTTCGGGAGATAACAGATTTGGATTATTGTAGCACGAAGAGACAAACAAAGCTAATAGTTTCAGGGTCACAGTCTGTGTCTCACCAACTACGTGCCCTCACGAGGGAGCATTTCTGCACAGAACATTATCCGCGTGCAAAAAATGTGCTCTCGCGAAGACGCTGAGGAGCGCTTGCTTGACCCCCTCTACGCCCTCTCAACTGCTCAACCTCTGCTCGCTCCTCATCAAGTTGACTTTTGAGACTTTGGGATCAAGTATATTTTCCTCCTCTCCACATCAGTAGGGAAACCATACATTCATACTACTTTCTGTGATTGACTGGAGCATTCCCATGCAGCACAGCAAACCTTGGTGGTGACTATGAGTTGATTATACATGTATAAATCCATTGCTGTAAATAAGTGCATAGCAGAAGACGACATACATAACATATATGATTAAATGTGTAAAAACAATGTTTTAAATTTGAATATACTATGAATATATTTATATATCAATAATTGAGGGGTGCACAAGAATCGAAAACATTAAACAATATTAATTTTCACTTAATTTAATCTTAAAATTCACTTATTTTGAATGAATTTTCTAAGACAACACACTAAGCATTGTCATTAAGATTATTTAGGCCCTCAGTTGCCATGAAATGTGTGACACCACAATGAACATTAAGACATGATTGCACTTGAATAACATGCAAGTTTAAGAACATAAAAAAAAATTCTAAACAACAGCAAACAAGGTCTTTAACCAAGGTAACTTTAGCCTAACATATGTTAAGGCATACGATAGTTGACCACATTAACCTCAAATATTAGCAGATTTTATCATTTAAAAACAACATTGATATAATAACATATACATACTACATATACATGTTGATGTATTTTATAAATATTGTAAATAAATGCATTTATTGTCTACTAATTACCAAAAATCGCAGTTCTGTCTCTTACTCAATGTATTCCAATTGCCTTCTATTTCGTTTTCACATAACATCACACCATTACAGGAACGCCCACATGGAGGGCAAAACAAGGCTTTCCTCCACTGACCGCCATTTATTTTTACGATGTTTGCATTAAGTAGTAATGTAGTAAGACAGTGATATTTAAAGGCCAAATTCAGTATACATCTTATTGGTGATGCTTATTGTACAGGCAAGCAGATGAACCCAGAATATAAACGCAATGTGCAAAGTTTAATGTTAAATGTTTTCCCACTGCAAACTGTTATAAAGAAAACACTTCACCATTTAGCGCATTGCATTCATATTCCGATTCTATGTTAACATGGACATGTTTGACTGTTACACTTGCCTCTTTTGCTGCATCTCTCACATGACACAGAGTTGAAAGAATGAAATTTTTTGAAAAGACGTCAAAACCGGCCATGAAATGTGTGACACCACAATGAACATTAAGACATGATTGCACTTGAATAACATGCAAGTTTAAGAACATAAAAAATTTTTTCTAAACAACAGCAAACAAGGTCTTTAACCAAGGTAACTTTAGCCTAACATATGTTAAGGCATACGATAGTTGACCACATTAACCTCAAATATTAGCAGATTTTATCATTTAAAAACAACATTGATATAATAACATATACATACTACATATACATGTTGATGTATTTTATAAATATTGTAAATAAATGCATTTATTGTCTACTAATTACCAAAAATCGCAGTTCTGTCTCTTACTCAATGTATTCCAATTGCCTTCTATTTCGTTTTCACATAACATCACACCATTACAGGAACGCCCACATGGAGGGCAAAACAAGGCTTTCCTCCACTGACCGCCATTTATTTTTACGATGTTTGCATTAAGTAGTAATGTAGTAAGACAGTGATATTTAAAGGCCAAATTCAGTATACATCTTATTGGTGATGCTTATTGTACAGGCAAGCAGATGAACCCAGAATATAAACGCAATGTGCAAAGTTTAATGTTAAATGTTTTCCCATTGCAAACTGTTATAAAGAAAACACTTCACCATTTAGCGCATTGCATTCATATTCCGATTCTATGTTAACATGGACATGTTTGACTGTTACACTTGCCTCTTTTGCTGCATCTCTCACATGACACAGAGTTGAAAGAATGAAATTTTTTGAAAAGACGTCAAAACCGCAAAAACATGTTCAGTGTCAACAACCTTGAACACATATTTTTGCACTCCACTGTGCTGTTTTCCACCATTTTTCTATGTAGCTAAATATGCGCTAAATGGACGTCTCACGTCTTTTGCAGCGTCTCATGCATGACATGTCGTTCAAAAAACATGGCACTCAAGTTAAAGAAAGTTCAACTTAAAAAAAAAATTCGAGATGACACTCGACCCTATCTCCCAAGGCTCAACACTGGAATCACAGTGGTTCTGATACATTCATCATAGCTCACAAAGCAGACGGTTGGAGTCTGAAGGGGCTTTGAAGCCTGGAAGACGTCTGGGCAGACTCAGGGCGAGCCTAGTTCAACACTTCACAAGCCTGAGAAAGACATACAGAGATAAAGACACAATGGACAGCGTCCTTTCTGGAAGTTCGATCCAACCCTGGAAAAGGTGACGTTCAGCAAGGGCGAACAAAAGTACCGATTAGAGTACAGAATTCAAGTTTAGGTTAGGTTTGAGTCTGTGGAGGAACTCATTGAGATTAGAAAACCAATGATGAATGGTGGAGCTGATTCTGTTTCAAACTTTATTACATTGCAGTATTGGGCACGAGTTATGTCTCTTCACATCTGAGCTTATCTTTAAACATGTTCATTATCTCAGTCAGCACATTGCTAGCTTGTTTTCAGAACTTCACAGAGTACTTTTCAGAGGTTCACAGTTAAAACAGAAAACAGTTAAAAGCAAGATAGTTCCTTGTTT